CAAGGCAATCATCAAACGCATGGTTTTATTGACATATTGCTCATTGTGCACCACGTTCTACGGTAAGCTCCATCACATGAGTAAAAAGCATTTTTTAATTTTCCATTTCATGTGATACTGCAGAAACACTATTAAAAGAACGTTCATTCAACCACTGTAACTATTACGATGAGTTGCTTTGGTTTTATTACAAGTGGTGAAAAAACATTTCTAGTTTTAACCCTAGACGATTTCTGAAAACGTTAACCGTATTGCAGACTTAAAGCTACTGCCTGTTATTTTTTAGGGCAGTTTTATTTCATAAATTCTTTGCAAACACGAACAACGTATTTCAAAATAAGAAAACACACCAAAATATATAAAAGCATAGGAAATAGGCTACAGCTTTTACATACTACATTCTTAAGTTAAGAATGTGTATGCAGCATTTCCAGAGCCATACTGGGGTGTATCTGCGAAAGGACAAAGCAATGAGGCGTTACCTTTGGAAGGAGGACGAGAAAGACTCTTGCACTACTGAGGTGGTTGCTGGTGGTGTCATCAGACTGGCTGTATTTTGCGCAGCAGTAGCAGGCTGATGTGCTGAAGCATGTGGTGCAGGAGCAGAGGCAGAACTGGTAGACACCGGAGCATGCTCAACAGGGGTACTAATTAGAGTTAAATTAGATAAAACAAGAAGCATCTTAAGAAGGTGCGTATTTAAACATAGAGCGTAAAACCTACTATGTTTGAACCAGAAGCTGCAAACATAGTATCAGGCTGTGTTACTGAGGGAAAAGCACAATTATGCAAAGGAAAAAAAGGCACTTGTTAGGCCTTTTTGGATGTGCAGTTAAGATTGTAATGCAGTTTTGGTCCTGCTTGACTGAAATTTATCCCAGATGTTACACAGCACTTAAGTCCTGCTCCCACTGAAGCCAGTGGTAGGAAACGTAGCATGCAGAACTTAAATGGTTGCAAAGAGCCTGTCACAAACTCTTTGAGCTAGGATAAATTTCATCCAATATTTGCTCTGGAGCTGAAGTTTATGTTAGGAATACACTTTTTAATTAGATGAAGAAAAGCAATTTAAAGGACATTATCAAAGTCTTGTATCAGCAGGTTTTCTGCAAGTTCTGATAGTCTAGAAAACCAGTCAGCATCATTTTGTGTTGGGTTTAACCCGTTTTGTGCAATACAGGTAGTGGAAAGATGTTTAAAACGAGTCCATTGTCAGTTCGTGTCTGACCTTAATTCATCTTACATTACACTGGCCAACGCATCGATAATAGCTGCCTTTTTACACATAGAACAGTATGCAAAATACAAGGGGAAGATGTAGCATAAAATTTTACTACACCAGTTTTGAAACCACTTGTGTGATGAGCACGAGTTGTTATTCTTGTGGCCCAAATAACATGGAGAAGAGAAATACTAATGTTTAATTCATTTTCTCTTTATTTGAATCCAAAAGAGATTAATTGAAATGAATATTATTAATAATAATAATAATCTAGTCTCCTGCCCTGTGGTCATTTTAGTAACCTACTGAACTACTAGTGTCTTTCATCACCTATCATCAGAGCACCTGGTGTTCATTAACATATTTCAGCCTTGCAGCCTCACTCAAATTTGGAAAATATTACTCATCTCTTACAGTTAGACAAATGGGGCAAAGTTATCTATGAGACAGCTTTGCAAGAGAGTTTAGTCAAAGCCATCCACTGCTAAGAAATGAACCAAACTTTCAGGAGGTTCAGTTTATTGCCTTCCACTAGCCTTTACATCAAATGAAAAAAAAAAAAAAAATCATTAACTGGACTTAAAAAATTTGCTGGCTGTTTCAGTGAACTTACTATAAACAAAAGAGTAACAAGTGAATAATGAATGTACATATTGTTAATAAACCTAACAAAAATCACTTCATTTAAAATTAAAAGCGGAGGGAGGAGGGAAAAGGAGAAACAAGAAAAGGCACTTCAGTGATAATATAAGCATATGTACCCCAGGCATAAGGGACATTTTTGTTGATGCCATATTATTGTGCTGTAGATTCATTGTCATAGTAGTTGTCCTAATACATCTATTATTTTTTTTTTTTTAAATCAGGGCATTACTGTGCATGACGTATTTGTCTTGTCCACAAGCAGAGGTATAAGAACATAATAGATATGAGTTAGGTCAAAAGAAGTAAAACTATAAGTATATTGCCACATCTCTGGGTTCTTACAAACAACTCCTATCAAGGTGATGGAATTTGGCAATTGTCTTGTGCAATGTACACACCATGCCCAAAATATTCTTTCCTGAGCATTCTAAGTATCAAATAACAAAAGAAAGCTTACAGTTCCACAACTGTTTTTCATCCAAATCTTAGCCCTCAAACATTCTTTCTTTCAGCTTTTTTTCCGATGAGAATCTGCCGTTGTGCAAATATTTTCTCTGTCTTTCAGCCATTCTAGCCAGTATTTTCTTTTGCTTCTCTCAGAAGCACTGATTCAACAAGTTGTACTCCTCAGGATCTAGAATCAGTGCTTGGTACTTCAGAATTCCCGATATCCCTTGCTCTGATAGGGACTGTCCCATTTCCTGGGTTCTCCTCCTCTTCTCCCCCTTCTTGTATAATTTAGTAGTCTAAATGAGGGTGTCTTATTTCAGCCGAATAATTTACTATTTGATTAACTGAAAGGGAAGTCTGGTTGTTACGCACTACAATTTCAAAGTTGAATGCAACCCACAACAAAAGCAGAAAATCAGTATTTTCTCTCTTATGAGTTTAATCAGCAATTATACAGACAACAAGTGAGCTCCTGAAAATACCCTGTTTGCAATTCTGGGTTTCAAATCATTACACCAGAAGTTTTGCAACAGTTATGCAAAAGGTTGTCCATCATGATACGCACCTGAAATTCAGATCAGTTCTTCCATCTTGATGCATTTGCGTTATGATGCAAATTCTTCTGCTTAGCTAACACAGTCTCAGTTACACAGAGTAGCTCTGTGTTGTACATCACAGCTATGGATCATGGGCTAGTCTGTTACTCAGTTTTAATATTCACAGGATTTTTTTTCTGCCCTATGCAACAGTGGGAGCTGTAATTGCCACATTAAAAGGTGTTGAGGAAAAATTTAATACTTGCACATCCTTGATTTGGCAAAGAGGAAAGGCCTGAAACTATACTGCATATAAAAATGGAACTTAATATATGCCCTAGAAACAAATACAAACTAGGATTTCACCTATTTTGTCTTTCTGTTTTCACTGATACGAAAGGGAATTTGCTACAGATTTCAAAAGAATCAAGACTTCATACCTTGAGTAGAAAAAAGCAGTGAAGTTACTTAATTGTAACGATCTCTAAAATGTTAACCAGAACACATACTCAGTGATACATATTTAAAAGACCAAAAGAAAAAAAGATAAGAATATATACGGACATGGACCTGCGTGAAAACAGATTTGAACTGGACAAACACATATAAATAAAATAAATGCAAATATACTAGCATATCTTATAAAATTTAAAAGAAATACAAAAAAATTTTATCTTGCATGCTGTTTGTAATAGTTTTTTTTATGTGATTAAAATGTTAGAGGCTTGATCACCTTCCTGCAGGGTAGAATATATTAACAGAACAAGGAATTGGAATAAATATAAACAAAGTAGCTACAAACCTTAAAAATCAGGGTGATCTGGTTACGTACAAGCATTGTACATATGCAGTTGGTAACTAATTCTCTACTCAGTTTTATAGAAAGAACTCAGACTAACTTGACTGGTTTTTAGTTTAACCACTATACATTTTAAATAATTTTACATAGATATTCAAATAAAATAACTTTTTTCCCTCAAGATCGCTTCCTTTCTAGATTTTCAATCTGAAAGAGTGCAGAAAAATTTGAAGAACTGATAAATGTGAATGCTGCTTTATAAAATAGATCATCTATTACAACAGCTTCATTGTTAAGTATGTTATAGAGTTGTTTGTTGTTTTTTTAGTACAGTCAATCTGTACATTTTTAATCTTTACAGTATTTTGCATTTTAAGGAAAATCAAAGGAAATGGATGTTCTCAAACATCTCCATATTTGTGGTAACAAATAAACATAAAATGCACAATGTCAGTAAGTTATGTGGATGAAGCAAACACATCTCTCTTCTCAGCTGATTTTCACTCATGAGAAGGAACACAGATCAGTAGAGGTTAAGAGGATAATAATGCTTAACAACCATAATGAGAAAACAGCAACAAACGCACTCCAACATATAAAATATAAGTGCAGATTACACTGCTTTCTCTCAGTAAAGTCCTGCTTTCTGAGACTTTTTGTCCAAGTAACAATTGAGTGGATTATTAAAGCAATACTTAGTTTCCTTTATGTAATGCATGAAGATCTTTTTGTTTCAAATCCTCCAACAGATCTCTTCTAAAGAATTGGAAATATAGGGAACAAAAGTAAAAATGAGTAGTCAAAAATTATCTCTTATTGTAGCATTTGTAGAAAAAAGTGCTGAAGAAGGTGTTTAGAGAAAGACGTAACATGGAAGAGTTTTGCATTTTAATATGGGAATGTTTGTAGAAATACAGTGAATAGTATCAGCTGCTGTTTCTCTGCAGAAGGTGCTGAATGACTGTTGTCTCTATACTGTAGGTGACATCCTCAGGAGTGCCACTTAAAGCGTAAAACCCACGTGAACTAGAAGTTGCTGGAATCTGTAGAACTTAAGACATCTGCCTTTTAGGCAATGGGCATTTCCCTCTGAAGGAGTTAGAGGCTGTTATTATCAAACCATTCCAAAGCTCCAAACCGGGTCAGTTATGCAGTTACACGTCACAGTGTACCTTTGATTACTGGATGAAGTCAGAGGGACTTTCTGGCCAGTAGTGATGAAACTGGCCTCCCTCTGACTTGTACCCGCTCCAAGCCTCACAGACCCCTTGGAGGCCACTGGCTTAGCATTGTCAGAGTTGGCATCCATGGTGCATGATTTAGGAGGATGCCAAATACTTGAGGTCACACACTGTGGCGCATGTGCAGTAGCTGCAGGCCTGGGTAACAGAGATTACAAGGGGATTTGTAAATGAGGTGTTTATTATCATGTCACCAATTTCCTAGGTAATAGGAATAGAGAATTCCAGCCACAGAAGAAGCTGGTGGTTTAATAGAAAAAAGTTTGTTCAGTTTTTTTGGTTTTCAGAGATACATGTGCTTGCTGTTTACCGTACCAAATAAGGCAGCCCTTTAAGACAGCAGTTGTTATTTATGTGCCATAAAGCCTTCAGAAAAAAAAAAAAAATCAAATAACAAAAGTGCTGAACCTCATAACTGAAAAATCAAGTCTAGGTTTAATAATGAAGGCTTTATTTTTCTGTCTTTTCTTTTTCCTGGAAGACAATTTATATCTGTAAATATATAGTGTCCTCTTTTTATACCCCCAAATTCCTTACACCATAGGAGATCATCACGATATTGTAGATGAAGTCATGAAAATCTTGACAGTTAATTACTTTATTACTGCTCAAGACCAGGAAAGGCTTTAAGAATTAAAAAAGGTACCTTGTGTTAAATCTGGAAACCATATTGCTAGGAATGTCAAAATAAGATACATAGCAGAGCTGTGATGATAATGGAGGTGGAGAAAAGCTATGGTATAACAAACCGTGCAAGATTAAGGGAATATAGTATGACACTAACATCAGTCATACATCAACAATTGTTGGTAAAATAAAATAAAATAATTTAAAAAAAAAGATATTTCAGTGGAGCAGCTGCATAGTCCTGAAACTGCTAGTGAAATGCTAACATGTTACTTGTTTTTTCAGTTTACTTTATACACAGTTGTTATGCAGAAATCAAGGGTCTTATTTCATTGTTTTGACATAATTTATTTCAACAATAAAAATCAATTTTCCCTACTGTTCCAAGTACCAGTTGCCATTTCTTTTGTCATTAGTAATGACAATGCTTGCACTTGGATTTTAACTCTTACGCAACCTTTGTGCAAATGTGAGCAGTTTTATAAAAAACAATATCAAAAAGTGGTTGCACATTGTTTAGGCAGGAATCAACAAATCAGAGCAAAGCAGTGAGAGTCCTTTTCATGACAAACTAGTAAGAGACATTTCTTTGCTCCATTAAACAATTGGTCGGATTCACTCAAGATGTACCTGTGTTTCAGTGCTTGTGTGTTTTAGTGTATGAACTAATAGAAGACAATACGTTTCTATATCTAACTGCAAATTGCACTGAGATTCTTTGGGAGAAAACAACTTTTGAAATGAAAGAACTTACTTACAGAGATACCATGTTTTGAACCTCATAATTGATGAGCCTCAATCAATCAAGATATAGTATATAAATGTTCTTAAAATACCAAAAAGATAAACTTACTTAGATTTTAAAAACATCTTGAACAATCTAGACAAAGTTTAAAAGGGAAATTGTTCTTAAAACTCCATCGCAAACTGACGATATTCCATTTCAAGAACATTCGATAAAAGCTGCTTCTTTTTAAGGTTTGTAAGTTCTGAGAAATATGATCCTTGGCTGCCCCATCTCACAGTTTTTTGAAGTCCACATTAGAAACAAACGCCTAACAAACCCACTCATTTGAAACCTCTACATTCATCATCTGCTCAAATAGTGTACAAATGTCGTGTTTTTGAAGTAAGCACAATATGAGGGAAGTGGAGGCAAACTCTGAATAGGAGGAAAGCCAAACACACAGAGCAAACATTACCTGTTTTCTGATGCTGCTGCAACATTTTCCTTGTCTCTGTGAAAGGAGGGGATACAGTATGAATAAAGTGAATGCAATTGTCAGTGGTGGAAAAAAAAAAACCCAAACAACAGGGAGAAAGAAGATGGGTTGAGGAGAAATGTTTGGTTGCAAAAAGCATCCTAGAGTGGTTGCTCATATAGTTGTGAGAAACCTCATCAGCTCTCCAGGTGAAACCCACCAAATATGCAAGTTTACTGTATGCTTCTTCTCAGTTACAAAGAACTTTGTTTCAATATTAAATGAAGGAAAATTAACAGTTAGAAGTTAGACATTGTATGTATGTAGATAATTTCAGGCGTAGCTTTGACTTTAGTTAAGCACCCTCTTAAAAGAAAATTTCAAGAATATTCCAGTGGAACATAGTCTGATGCAGTAAAAAATTATCAGACTTGGGCAGTCCCCAAGTATCCGTATTTTGAAGTGATAAGCAGTTAAATGGTTAACAAAGACTTATACAAGATGTATTATATATGTGTGGCATCACTTAAAAATTCTCTGTCCTACCCAAGTAAGTACTAGTTTTCTCAGTCTAAGTCGGATTAGAAACAAGTGAAATCATTCCTTCACTGAGGTGAGGAGTAAGTCAGCCTCAAGTTCAGTGATAGAGAATTAGGCTGTTATTCTGGCAAACACACACACACGCTTACAAAAATCACTGATCAGTTTAAGTGCAAGCAATTGTGTGTCTGTGTAAGAAGTTAAGACAGTCATTTTCATAAAGAATAGAATCCTTTTGCCTTAGACCCCTAAGTTTGAAATCCAATTAGGTTAAGTAATTGAGATAGTCTCAATATTTAGCTTGTGTCCTTTAGTGGGTGCTTGTGTCCTTTCCTATTTAAGGGGTTATGCTGGAATTTCAACACATTTAAAGTTGAAATATGCCAAATGAGAACATTTTCTTAACTGGGATCTAAAATTAAAAAACACAAAGCAAATGTCCTCATTCACCCATCTGAACCTTCTTTCTAAAAAGTCCTTCGAAAAAAAGGAATACATTATTTATGTGCATTTGCTGGGCTTCAATCATTATCTTACATTATGTTTGGAAGGCTATTCTCAATATTTTCCACATTGTTAGTAATATTCAATATATTTCTCTCTGTGTTTATGTATGTACATGTAGGTATATACATACAGTCACATGCTTTTTCCTTATTTTAGCTCCAATAAAATTATGAAAATCAGTCCAGTTGACAATAGCTAAAGTTTAGGCATAGGTGTGCTCTACTAATTTTTAAAATGTAACCCCTAAAATATACGAACTTAAGTCAGATTTTCAAACCCAGAAGTAGATCTGAACTCTGACCCTCAAGATGTGGCTGTCTGGCTCAGAATGTTATCATGGTCAGAATGGAAGAACCCGTCTTGCAGGAAAGTATGCCAATAAGATCAATTGGTTCACCACTCTGAAGCAATGAGAAACCAAACACTATCTTTTTGGTAACCAAGCTGTGAGTTCACTGGAACATCAGGTATAGGAGAGCCAGGATGAAACAAGGTAGAGGAAGACAGATAAGAAACTGCCTGTGTTGGGGGAAATGTTAGTATACCAAGAGCCATAATCATGCGAGAGTGTTAAAAACACCATCACAGCCTGAAAAGAATAAAGCATTGTTTATTTCCAGTGTTACCAAATATTTTGTGAGAAATCATAGTCAAGACCAAATGGCAGGCAGTTGGGGTCAGGGAAAAGCAGTGTTAGGCCTCTGTTGTTACTATTAATCTGATCCAAACTCTTCTGCTCCACTAGCTGTGGCTATACTGAAGAACGCAGAAAAACATCACTTGGCTTTGAGCTAAGGATTTCACTAAAGCTTTTTCCATGAGTGTACAAGTACAGGATGATGCTGAGTGACAATGGCAGGGGAGTTGTGAAGGTTAAAAAGAGAGAGAGAGAAGTATAGTAAACATACTTCCACAGAATAAAGCAAAGGAAAAGGCAGAGAGTAAAGGGAAAAATGAGCTCAAAGGCACACAATACTTCTTCACAGTTTTCCTTCCAGGAACTATTTCTCTTTTCCAGTCAACAGGAGTAATTCCTGTTTGGCTAACAGTGAGAAAGGCTCAAGATCAGATGTGTCTCTTATTTGCAGTACTTGCATTTTGAGGAACAGACTATTGGATTTCCAACCTTTACAATCAAACATTTTTGCTAACTAAATGTAGAATTAATTTTACTTTTGAGTCAAACACATTCCTGAGGCAGGCTCAGTGAAGTCAATACCTTCACAACACGAAAGATTTTGGCTCAGAATATTATGAGCAGTTTGTATCTCTGTGGCTACTCAGGCTGCTCAAATAACTGACACTAGTTGATAGTAATTATGACCTATCTGGGAGAGATTTAATATCAAATGTTTTTCAGTCTGAAGCCCTTTTAGTCCCCAGCTGAAATGGCTTTTCATAGAAGGCCCTTAGTCAATGACTGTTGTGACAGAATAGTGCAACGCTAACGCATTTTATTCAGTATTAGGCATATACCTCAAACAAGATTTATTTATGCAATATATTGTCTTCCCAATTACATAGTGTATTATACAAGGAAAACGATGAAATGTTTCCTTCTTATAAAAATATGCTACATGATATGGTCATAAAGACAGAGTGAATGAAATGATAGAAATAGTCTTTCCCTCCCACACACTAGCAAGAATTATAACAGTTTAAGTAACAAAATGTAAAACTCATTTGTAAGTCAAGCTTGTGTGTGCTATGGGATCCTAAAAAGAGCCCGAAGAAACTTCAGAGAGTTTCCAATAAATGAGTCTGTTGAATCTGAACTGTATGTACTAGACATTGGAATACTTTCCCATTCTATTTTATTTTTGGAAACCAAATGTAAAAGATTCCCAAACAAACCTGTACATGTAACAGGCAACCTGAGATGTGGAGCCTGTGCACCTTCCATCTACCTTCTCCTTAGAGAATAACAGATCTTGACTCTCTCTCTTGAATAGTTCCTCTCTGTTCTATTAAAATATTGTAGACAGAACCGTTTAACCTGCAATGAAGACATAAGGAACATCAGGCATCCCAAGAGACCACATGTTCCTTCCTTTCTTCTCTGTCTTTCAGCAATAAGTGAATACTATAATTGATTTTTTTCCTCTGCATTCTCAGAGAGCAACACAATATTCTTCTTATTTTACAAATGAGGAACTAAAACTTCATATAGCTGCTCATGGTCAAAAAGAAGGTCCATGACAGGTCAAAGAACCGAAATAAGCTCTCCTGAATCCCAACTGAGTATTTTTAAAATACCAGCTC